ATATCCCTATAGATAGATATATGTATATATATGTGCGTATTTTGTATGAAGGGAAGGCGGGGTCGAAAAGAAATCAGTACAAACAGCGCGAGTAAGAAGCACGTTTACTTGGCAAAACCGACGACAACGGACTGAAATTTCAAAATTTCGAAACATTCATTAGTGGTTGCTCCAGCCCAGTTTGAAGTAGAGCAGTGCTGGCAAGCACATCCCTAAATGGCATTGCCGTCCTGATGAGCGATATGGTCAGCCTAAAACAGCAGATGTTAATAGTAATCGAATCGAACATATCGAATGTAATGGAATTCCGCTGCAAATGTGTTAATTTAAAATTTAATCTAAACCAAGCAGTTAAGTAATGATAACATATCAAAATCAAATATCTCTTATCATATTCCAACAGAATTTCCAAGAATCGATTCGAATATTTCAGCCAAATCACAACTTTTCTACAAAATTGTTAAAAAGCTTTTAAAACTCGATGAAAACCTAAGAAAAGTTGAATACGAACTCAAAGCCCAAATTCTTTTTGATACCACACAAAATTCGTTAGAAACATAGCAACCGTACGAATCCGTTCACCAAACAAAAAATAGTTTGCCTGAAATAGTGTCATAATTTGTTAGCTTCGACACTTGAAACAACAAAATTGTTCAAAGTTTAAAATACCCAATTTCTATACTGTGTACTTTTTTATTTTTTTTTTTTTTTTTTTTTTTTTATAAAAAAAAAAACAATGGTTACTTGCAACAAGAATTTAGCAGCAAGACTTATAGCCGAAATGTTAGGCAGCATGCTTGTGCAATGCATTGGCTGCTGTTACAGTGGTCTGTCAGTTACTTCGGCCAGATCAACACTTGATCAGCTTTTCAACCCGGGTCGTGAATATGTGCCGAAGTTCCAGGGAACTAGCCTTGGATACGCATTCACATGGGGTGGCCTAATTCTCGCTGGAACAATGGCATTTCGAATTGTATCCGGTGCTCATTTGAATCCAATAATCTCGGTTGCATCCATTATAATTAGAAATATTAAGCTGGTGGATGGTCTACTTTATATAGTAATGCAATTAGGGGGCTCCTGCCTAGGCTACTGCATCGCTTTTGCTATGTACGGCAATTTGCTGTCAGAAACGCAATTCTGTGTGACGGAAGTATCGTCGGTATGGTGGATGGCATTGGTTGTAGAATTTTATATAAGCGGCGCTTGGGTTCTAGCTTTTTGTTCATCGGTTCATGAAAGCAATCAGCCCCCAAATGAATCCGTATCATTGAAAATCGGTTTCGTTGTCATTTGCGCCACTCTCGTCGGAGTAAGTACATACATAAATACATATATATGTATATATATATATATAAAATATAATTGATTGATCTTGATTTTGTTAGACACAATATTCTCAGTCCTGCATGAATCCATTCCGATCTCTTTGGCCCGCTCTCTTTCACGGATTTTATAAACATATCTATATTTATGTGGGTATTCCAATTGGGGCTTCTATATCGCTGGCCTTTGCTTGGCGTTACCTCTATTTGATGAATGCGGACGAGACTGTCAGCGGACCTGGAGGACCCGACAAAGATTAATGACCTTCAACTGCAGCTTTCAAGCCAAAAAAGAACACAAACCCAAATTTTCAAATTGCTTCATCAAATGCAGATATTCAAATATTTATCATAAATTATTTAAGTTGTAATAAAATCGTAGAAAACGTTTGGTCCTAGAGGTGACTCCATTTTTTGTTTTTCTAGAAGGCAATACCAAGAAACCATAAAAACTAGAATCAATCGTGTTATGAGCATTAATCGCAAGGAGTAGCTCCATCGGAAGTCATTGTTTCTACGATTTCAATGACATGGAAGAACTTAGATGCCTTTTGTGAAACATCGGGCCGCCATTTAGCTATTATATCTTGAGCCGTAGGACCCAAGTCTGGCTAAAATGCATCCTGAGTGGGCCACATACGGGACGATTTTCGTTATTTACTGCTCTTTGCGATATCATCAAAGATCTCCACATCCAAAAGAACAACAGCAGCTCCATCTAAGCAACCGCCTAAAATATTTTAATTTTTTTTTTTTTATAACATATTTATAAGTTTTATAAATAGAATTAGAGTACATGGGAGGAGTGCATATCGTATGGGAACACATTTTTCAAGGAGATGGTTTGCTTTTAGCTTTAAAGGCCCACACCTATGCCAGTAGTTGGCGTATAGAAGAGGCACTGCATAGCCTCCTGGAGAGCACGCTGGCATGCCAGTGCGGACGTGAAGCCGCCGGCATTCTCCTGCGGCGTCTCGGGCCTTATATGTGAGACGTAGCCCATGGACTCGACTTCGGCAAGGGGCGGCGGTGTCGGACCTTCGGTGATGGGTATGAGAGGCTCGTATATAAAGATAGGACCCTCCTCCGATTTTGGTACTGGCAGCAGTGTTGGATCTGCAGTCTGACCAAACTTAATGCCTGTGGAGAATTCATTTGCAGGTTTAGGAGGCGGCAACTGCTTCTCCTCCTCGCGCTGCTTTTCAGCCTTCTCGGCGAACTCGCTGACAATGGTGGCAGCGTCCTTGCCGCTGTACATGAGCTCCTCGATGAGGGCCTGCTTGTCACGAGCCTTTTTCTTTTTATGCTCGGTTTCCAGCTCTTCCAGCTCCTTCTTGCGCGACTCATCCTGCACGCGCTCTAGCTCGAGTAACTCTTCCAGGGCGCATTCGTCGCGGCCAACGCGCGTTTTATTGCGCTGAATGACCTCGCGGTTGTCACGCTTATAGGCCTCGATGCGTTTGTTGGTCTCAATAATTTCAATGTTGTTACACAGATTGTAGACAATATCCTCGATTTCTTCCAAGTAATCATTATATTCCTCCAGCGTTGCAAAGTCCTCTTCGCGCTTGTTGTAGTCTCGCAGAATGCGTCGTCTTATATCCACCTCCTTCTCCACCATAGGATCTTCGAAGAGCTGTACACGAAAGTTGTTCCGCCGCAATGGTACCATACATTCCGGACAAGCGCCGGAGCCCTTGAGGAAGAGCATATCCACACAAGATTCGCATAGCGTGTGACCGCAAACATTGACCATCAATTTTAGAGATGGATTCCGATATTTGGTGGTCTTGCACCGCGGACAGGCCTGCTCTTCCATCTTACTTCCGCTTTTCTAACAACGTATATTTTATATAGATAATAAATAGTAATGCCGGCCAATTGCAATGAATTAAAAGTAATACTCGAAATGGCACTCACGAAATCAGCTTGTTTCGATAACGATAAGTCATTAGCATACAGCCCTGAAAATCATATTGTAAATACATGGTCACCCCAAAACCAAATATATCGATATAGCTCTCAATAGCTGGGGCGCGCATTTAAAAGACAAAATAAAACGCACTTTTAAATTTTTTTAACATTTTATTTTAAACAGCATACGCGGTAGTTGCTCACATTTAGAGTAGAATTTAAACATTGTTTTTTTTTTAATATACACGCATATATATACATACACATACATATGTATTACTTTTTTTTTATGATATATATGCATTAAATAAGTATTTTAATAATTTACATCGATCAAAACCTTTTCTTATATGTACGTACATAGGTTTCAGCAGCACTTTGTTGGGTTATTTCATTTTTCTTGTGCTTTAATTATTTATTTATATAAGTAGTTAAAAGCATTTCCAAGCAGGTGCATAAACATTTGAAATCAATTAACATTTTACGCTTATTACTTGTTTTTCAAATTTGCATGCGTTATTCCGTAATACTTGAGAAAAGGGTCATATGTGTGGATTTGTGTGGGTGTGTGTATGTATATGTGTGTGTGTTCTTGTTATAAAAGCAGCACATTTTGAAATATATGAGAGTTATATATATAAAATGCTATAGTAGATAGGCTAGTAGATTTAGGCTAACTTACGCGCTAAAATGTTGTTTGGGCTTACACAATGTATACAATCTTCTTGAATGGACAAAAATAAAACAATTGAAAGATTTACATACATTACATATTCATTACATTACATATTCATATTCATATACATATACATATTTATATATACGGATACGCACACATATACGCGCTTACACAGATATCGGCGTATATGTATGTAAAGAAATCGACACGAAACCTAAAACAAGAAATGAATCAAAGGCGCGCTTTTTTCTCTGTATAGGCTCAACAAATTTTCGATTCAATTATAAATCGAATCACTGTAAATATCACAATTTAGTTAACACATACTATACAATGCATACAATTAAAATAAATTTAAACGGTCTGTCAATAACAATATATGTAGTTGTGCAACCATCTAATTAGTCGCATGTTAAATAGTAATAAAAAAAAAATGAAGAAAAGAACATAACTCGTCAGGTCGGTTTGAAATGTGGGGGGACAGTGGACAGCGGACAGCGGGCAGCTAAAGTGAGTTGAAATGATTATCAATCAGAAGCTAGCCCTGCAGTGCGGTAACCTCCTCCTCCAGCTCAGCGTCCACCTCATCAATCTTGGAGCCGCTGCAGCCGCGGCACTTGCAGCAAATGATGCACGGCGCAGCTAGCAGCAGCAGCGGCGACGCCACCAGCAGCAAAATGCCAAAGCCGGCAAATATCCCAATGACTTGAGCACGATGCCAGACGACAGAGGCACGCGAGTGACCCAATTTATTCTTGCACGGTCCCTTGTCATAGTGACGCAACAGAAAGTCATCCTGCGAATAAGTGAATGCATTCATTAGCCTCAACAGATAACAGATAACAGACAACACTCACATCAAGACTGGCCAGACAGTACCAGCAGAAGACGTGCTTGCACCGCTTGCACATCATCTGGGCGCAGCCCTCGTCCTTCTCAATGGGCACCGCGCACATGGGGCAGCATTTGATGAGCTCGTTATCGAACGGTATGCCAATATCATCCTGGCCATCAGCAATCAGACGACGTCCGAATTCCTCACAGCTTATGTTTGGATGATACTGTGAAGAGAACAGAAATTCCATTAATTAATTGATTGCTGCAAGATTCGGCAGGTGCAACCCAGGGAGTGAGCCAAAGCTGCGTAATTGCACAAACTTTTCATAGGCCTGGCACAGTCCTACTTACCGCCTTCTTGCAGAGAGCACAGAACTCATCCTTGCAGGATGGACAATGCACCGATATCGAGAGCAGTGGCTGAGCACCATCCTGTTGTGGAGTATAGCTCTGGGATGTGGATGGCGATTCATCCATTTGGCAAATCGCGCTGCCAGCCAGCCCAGTCGTTGTACCATTGGCAGCCGTGGCAGCCGCATCACCAGCTGTGGTTGCTGTGCTTGCTGTGCCCACCATGCAAATTGTCTCGCAGCCGGCACGTGGACACCAGGTGCGCGTTTTATCCAATTCGATTTCTGTAATCGAGAGAAAAGCGTTTGATAAATGATTAAGCAAGAGTGGGAAACAAGGGAGGGGAGGGAGATTAGGGGCAGTGACACGTACCTCGATTTAGGCGATAACGATGATGTTTCTTTAGCAAGTTCGTTGTGGTTAGGTTCGCGATTTCGGGCAGCGAGATGGCCCCCTGGGCGGGGCATTTGGCATCGGGGCAGGAGATCTCGTAGGCGCCTTCGGTTATCTCAAAGTCCACATAGGCGCGCATGCACTGCAAATCGAAGCAAAAACAAAAGTGGGGCTATTATCGATGGCGGAAAGTTTCATTTAGTTGTTTTAGTTTCTACTCTACTCTTCTTGTTGTTGTTGTTGTTGCAAAAACTAAACAATTTGGCAAGTTGCGCAGCATAATCCGCTTTGAGCTGGCTCCAGCTCAATTCCATTAGCTCTATAGCAACCAGATACCACCCCCCATACATAGTCACCCTTTTCACATGGTGTGCGTGTGCGTGTGTGTGTGTGTGTGACCCTTGGGCAAAACTTTTGTCAAGGCATTTTGTAAATGCTGTTGCCTGCTTTTTGCATTGGCAGCCGCAAAAGTGTGGCTGTCAAAATTATTTCATTTTTAAGCACCCACAGCACAGCACACACAAACACACACACACACCCATTCACCACCTCTGACGCACACACACACACATAATACACATTGCTGTAGCCACAAACTTTCAGCAAGGACAAAATGCTCTGCGGAAGCTGTATAAATAAAGATTTAAAAACTTTGCCCGCTCGACTCGGCTCGCTTGGTCGGTCGGCTCTGGGCTGCCCATCTGTCCCATACATCTGCAGTCATCTACATATACATTCAGCTTTAGCTCCGCTCGCCTTTTGCGCATTAAAGTAATGAAATTGCTAACGGAAAACGGAAATGGCTAAATGCTCTTGAATACCCTACACATCAAATCGAGCAAATTAGAATGTCAAGTGGCTTGAGCAAGCAAATCTGAGCAAATGTGCGAATGCAGAAATGAGTTTCAAGTAATCTTTGCTCTGTGATAAGGTAAGTTAAGTTAAGGTAATTTATATATACATAGAAAAGGCATGGACATATAATATAATATAATTTTTAACAATTTTACAAGTTTTGCTACAGTATCAATTTGTTCACTTTGTTGCACAGCATCAGCCTAAATTAAATTTATTTAATTAAAATTTGCACAAAATTCTATCATATTTGGTTTGCATATTTTAAATGTTTTTCTTTGCTTTACAGTTGCATAAATATTATTATTTAATCAATTAAAAATACTTTCAGCGGCCTCTTAAAAAAAGTGTAGCATAAATTTGTGCGCT